TCCTTTTATCCCGTGCCTCTGACCTTTTCTAAGTGCTTCAATTCTGTATTTTCTTTATTTCCTCAAGCTCATTTTTCGACATATTCATTTGATATTCACTTTATTCGCCATAGTTTTCTTTAAAAACCGTCTACATAATTTGGTCTTCAATGGTACTTTTAGCAAGCTAGTAATTTATTCTACTTCATCTTTTTTCATCATGGTCATTTTCATAATTGGACTATTAGAGTTTGTCAGGATTTCAGTCTGAATTTTCATTTACTAAGTCACTTGTTTGGCTTAAGTCTGATGAGGAAAAAGTCCTTCTAATCCTGATTTCTATTCTTTTTGTAAGTCTATATTTCTTTTCCATTAATATATCTGTCTACTAGTACTTGAACAGTATTTTTTCTAAGGATCAGAGAGGTGTCCCTTTGCCATGTGCTTTTCAAAATAGTTGTTTCTTTGCAGAGAACATGTACAAAAGATAAAGAGACTCGAGTCTTTTAGGCATTAGTATAAATAACAGCTAAAACTAAGCTTGGATTATTAGGCTGAGCTTGCAATTTATTTAAGGAATGTAAATGTAATAAAATAGAAATGTTGAAAACATTTGACAATCCATGGATCAACCAAAACTATGAACTGAAAAGAAAAAGAATTTAATGGTTTCTGGATTCCTGTCTATCACAGGTCTGAAGGTGTATTTTGTTAACAGGCATTGTTCAACAGCATGTATATACAATATAAGCATTAGAAACTCAAACACTAATATGTTAATCTGGAAACATCTTTAACTTGCTATTGGAATTGGTACTAGCTCGATCAATCCCTAGAATGTGAAATGAGTCAATGAAAATGATCTTTCAATTTAAGGCATAGGCAAGTGTTCTGTCCATGTTCTTATGAACTATTGCATAATAAATTATTTGACTCATTTTACAAGGTATCTTCATCTATAGCAAGCCATTAAAAATAACAAATTATGATTTGAACAGACAGCCTAAATACACAATTTTTAAAATAAAAAACATCATTACATTCAAGCCATCAAAAATTAAATTAAAATATGATTTGAACAGATAGGAAACTTTGAAATTCAGGCTAACTAAAAAATGCTTACATTTATCAAATATAATATAATCAATTAAGGCAAAAGTAAGAAGCAAGTTTCAATATCATTTTCTTTATTTACACTTATCAATGAAGTATCACATACAAAATGTATAAACCTTTGACAGCCAAACAAAATGCTGCGTGGGATGTCAACCTCTCTGGGTGTGTGTTACCTTTCTTGACTCTGCTTCGCTTTCAATATATCTGATAGCTGTAACATAGATGCATTCAACCAATCATACAAAAATACTAAAATATTGAGATGCATTTGAATGTTTCCAAGTTGTGTTTTCTTTTCTTTTCCTATTTTGTTTGTTTACACTGATATAGTATCTAACCTTGTGTCACACAGCATCAATCTTCTCACAGACAGCACTTGACAGATTTTAAAGAAAAGCAACAGCATGAAGTAAGGCTTTTTAAAAATGTGTATCATATGATCGTTTGATGCACTGATTTAATGGGAGCTGGTTTGAAGTATACCCAAATATCCAGCTTGTTTGATTTTGTGAATGATTAAAAGTTAAATAAAATTCATATGGTGATTTTTTAACTTAACTTGAAGAATTGATATCTCATTTGTATTCATTTCTTTTAAATAAAAATTTAGCTTTTTTAACAGGTACTATGATAAAATATTGACCAAATTTTCTACATAAATTTTTCAATTGGGAAAACAGTCTGAAACTCTGAAATTAGTACAAGACCAGTAAACAGAACTGGGCATTCTAAAAGTTTCTTCAAGTCTATCCATTACAATATGATGAAGCTTTTATGATATGAATAATTAGAAATCCAATTTTCTGGGACCCTAAAAATCTAATACTGTACACAAGATTTGAGACTTTTGATGAGGAAAGCCTTCTGATGATGATTAAAAGAGAAAACATCTTTGAATAATGAATATCTGCCTACAGAAAGAAAATTTGTGAAGACTATTATCAAAATTACATCTACAGATTGAAGCCAATTAGGATAACATTTTTTTTTAAGTAGCAAGTAAAGAGACCAACAACACTCCAATTGCTGGTCTTCCATAGCCCAGGCACTGCAGATAGCCCACGATGTCTCACTTTAACTCGCTACATTTTCTCAAGGCCACAAGCTTACCTGAATCTGTTTACAGAAAGAGAAAAAGAAATTGACTGACAAAAATTTCTTCTGCTTTTTAATACGACACTGTAAGATAATGCAGGACATATTCTTCAGGCCATAAAACATATACAATCACACTGCTAAATCTAAGTCACATTCTGATGCTGTGGTCTGCTGAAAAGCCTTACCTGCAGATAACTCAGAGCATACCAAAGCCCTGAGAGTACTTGATGGCTTTATAGAGGCGATCCTTGAGTTTTTCTTTACTAGAATATTCAGGTAGGAGTAGAACATTGAAGCAGGTGTGGGC